CGCCACCTGCCAGGTGAGCCCTCACCTTGATGTGTAGCTCGGGATGCTGGTCGAAGTAGTCGAACAGCTTCTGATAGTTGCTGAACTGTGCGTCCCACTCCCCGGACTCCACGAAGCGGAAGTCGTCTCCCAGAGGAACCAGCAGCACCGAGGAGCGGAAGAGGCGGGACTTCTGCCGGTACTGGTCCAATAGGAGCAGAGCTCTGGGAGGAAGAGGAAGTCTGGTGTTCAGCCTCCTTCCTGGAGGCGGGGCATCACCCTTCTGAGCATGCTCAGTAAGAGCCACGGCTGCACGGTCAACAACGCAAAGCAGGCGACTAGAGAGGATGTTGGCCATTCAAAATAAAAGCCTGGTTCCATTAACATTCCTCTTGACCTTGCCAGATATTAAACATGAGGTATTTAAGGTAATGAGGTGTGTGGCTGTGGCCCCGCCCCCTGCTCACCTCTCCTTGATGTTCTGCTCTGTGATTGGCTGTGGCGGGATCCTCCAGGGACAGAAGACCCGCCCCCCTGGCAGGCGGTGGAAGTCGAACTGGCAGCAGACGGCCGGGTTCGGGCCACAGGTGTGTGGGACATCGTAGCTGTAGAACGGCATCATGTGACATGTGATGTCACTGCGGGAGGAGGAGTCTGGAATACAAGAAGTGGGCGGAGTCAGAACCTGAACATCATCGCGCTCAGAGTCTCTTGCCCTCTCTCACCCCAGCTCTGTCGCCATAGAAACTCCAGCGTCCGTTGCTGGGCGAAGTGCTTCTTGACAGAGTAGTGGACCCTCTGGATCAGCATGTTGCTAAGCCCCGCCCCCTTCAGCAGGTACGTCATGGAAGGGGAGTGGCCAAAGGGATCGATGGCCCAGCCGCTGCTCGGCTTCACGCCTACAGACAGACAGCGTCAGCGACGGGGGGCGGAACCTCAGCCGGGCAGACAGGTGAGCCTTACCAAGGTGAGTCTGCAGCCACTGGTGGCCCTCCATCAGCTGATCCAGCATCGCAAAGTAATGAGAGTTCGCTTCATCCGCCATGACCCAGCCGCCTGTCACCAGCTCCAGCTGCCCCGCCCCCACCAGGCTGGCCAATCACAGAGCAGACAGGAAACACGTGACCACAGTCGGCCAATCACAGAACAGACAGGAAACACGAAACCACAGGTCGGCCAATCACAGAGCAGACAGGAAACACGTGACCACAGTCGGCCAATCACAGAGCAGACAGGAAACACGTGACCACTTGGTCAGCTGACTGAAGATGAAGAGGAGCATTGATGAAGGTTACCGTCTGACCAGCGCCCTCTTCTGGTCGTCGATGTCATTCCACCACTGGGAGAAGTAGCTGATCTCAGCCCAGATCATCTTCCTCCTGGGACCAACACACCAGCAGAGAGCGTCTGTAGCATGGCAGCTGTTAGCGCTCACCCAGCAGAGGCTACTTCCATTCAGACGCTACTGATCTGATCAGTGATAGGCTGACACCGCGAGCTTAGCAACCAGGGCCGGTCAGTTCTGGACCAGTCTGCACCACTGGCCTACCTGCTGTCCTCTCCCAGTTTGACCAGCATGTTGTCCAGTATGTGTCTGGTCTGGTCCTGGTAGTAGCCGTCGAAAGTCTTCAGCCAGCCTGAAACATACAGCAGTCGGTCACTTCACACACCTCGGGCTCCACCTGGAGGCCCGGCTCCGCCCACTCACCTGGGTCGTTGTGGGAGTGGGGAACCAGGAAGAGCTCCAGCGGCTGCTCCGCCCATTCGTCTCCATGGTAACTGATCTGGAAGCCCTGCTTCCAGGCGCCGCCGTCGGGGTTGTCGAAGGGCAAGAGGTCGTAGACGTCCAGCAGCTGAAGAGCAAACAGACAGTTCTAATCGGTTCTGATCGGATCAGCAACTGGCCAATCAGATCACACATCCAGGTCATAAACAGCTCTGAGCACGCTCAGGTCACCTGCACTCCATCGGCGCCATCCTTCATCTCTTCGGCCTTCCAGCAGCCCGGAGGCGCAGCTGCTTGGTTGTGGGCGGAGTTTGAGCTGACGTTGGCCCCGCCCCTTCGCTCAGGTGACTCTCTAACCAGCAGAGAGTCCCGCAGCCGAGCGACCAGCCGGTTGTTGTCCACCAGGAGGCGCTCCAATCTGTCGATTTTCAGCTGGAGGCGGGACAAATCCTGCACACAGACACCTGATTGGCTGACTGAGTCGTGACCAGCCCAGACCGTCACAGAACCAAGAACCTACTTCCTCCACCTGGCCGACAGGTGAGCCCCCACCACGGTCAGGCTCCGCCCCCTGCATCAGCTCCAGCATGCGGTACAGTGACATCACAGCCAGGCAGAAGACTCCGCCCACTAGGACCGGCAGCACCCGGCCCCTCTTCATTGCTATGGGAACCAAGAGACAGCCAGGTTAGACTGGGCAGGTGCATGATGGGAAACGTAGGCAGGAGAAGAACTCGACAGCTCGGGACCAGTTCTGGTTCTGATTAGAATTTCCAGAGGGTGGAATATGTAAAACACTAGAACTGCACGTTCAGGAACCAGAACCATGTGGAACCAGAACC